CCACCAGATTTTTGTAGGTTAAGCTAAACCATGTTGTGCAACTTGTGCTGTACTGGAATGCAGTCATTCAGGAAGCTTTGAGGATTGAGGAACGTGATGATTATAAGGGCCCAAGCTAACTAAAGTAGCGTGCTAACTGATAACTGACTTTAGCATTTCAGCAGCTGATTAAACACACTGTGATGAATAATTCTCTAATGTTTTCAGCCAAATAAAATCATTTTGTTATCTTGGGGTCAGTTGTTTTTCTCAAATCTATGACATGTTGTGCTCTTTCTTGACACACTCACATTAGAAGAGTGTGTTGTGTGTGCCTAAATACAATTTATAATCTAGTTATTGCATTTCTTAGCAGTCAGTTTGTGTTTAAAAAAATTCAGATATTTTCTCAAAATTCCTTCTTATCATAGAGTAAGGTCATGGAAGACTTTTGGGTTTGTTTGGTTTTTTTTAGATTGTGTCATTTTTTAGTGTCCAATCCAATTTTATTTCTGAATACATTTTTTAAAACAAGTTTAACAGAGTACTATAAAAAGTAGCAGCACACAACAGATATAACAATATAAACATGTCAACAACAATAATAACATCATATCAGATTATATCACATTCATTCTGAGTTAAAAGCCAAGGAATAAAAATGAGTATTAAGATGTGGTTTAAAAACAGGTGTGAGGAGGCCATCCTGACATAGGCAGAGAGATCTTTCCACATTTGGCCCCTGGATTTCAGCTGGGGCTTAGGGACCACTAGAAGCAGCTGATCAATAGACCTTAGCTCGGATATTTATGGTTTTCTTGATCCATTAAATGTTTCTAAAAGAAATGAAATCTTAAAATGGATCCTAAAACAAACAGGGAACCAGTGGAGGGATCTGGTCCTGGTTAAAAGACTAGCCACAGCATTTTGGATTAACTGACATGGAGGTTAGTCACTGTTGGTTTAACGCTGTAGAGTCCCCGGGTCCAAGAGAAGAGCAGCACACACACCACTAGTTCTGAAAACAATAACCTCAGTCTTGCTTTCATTGAATTAAAAATTCAACTCTCCCATCATGCCTTGGGACATGTGCTGCTGTTTAGATGTTCTTGTTTTATTGTTTATGGTTATGTTACTTTTAACTGTTATCTTGAATGTTGTGTTTATGCTGTGGTGCAGAGTCACTGACAGTTGCTGTATTGTAGAAAGAGTGCTGTACCATGAGTGAGTTCTGTTGTGCTGTTGTTGACCACTGAGGCACATTGTGGCACTAGCAAGTGTTTTAAAAAATCACCCCCAAGGGAAGAAGGTAAAGAGAAAAAAGGATTTGCCCAAGAATTCATTTGTGGCTTCCTCAACTAAGAACTTTCCATTTGGAACTGAATCCATAGTGTTCTAAGTAAGACATGACAATGGTCACTGCTGTGTTGAAGCAGCAGTCAGATCTAGAAGCACAAGAATGTAAAGCCACCTGAATCTGTAGTTAGTAAAAGATCATTAAGATTTTTTTTATAAAGTTCTGATTCATTGTTGTGAATAGTTTTAAAATCAAACTGGAAATATCCAGAATTAGTCTAGAAAAGATTGCAATGGCAAAGATACAGTTCTCTTAAATTTTAGACATAAAAATGCAGTTTTTAAATCTAAAATCAGAGAGGTTAAAAGGACAGTTTTAATGGGTTTTTTTTGGTTTTTTTTAATCAGACGATCCACCATATCTTGTTTTATATAAATGGGTACAACACCAGAAGTAAGACTGCTTATAGTTTCTGGTTTTCTGGTCCTCTTAAAGCCCACAGTTATTTCATTGGTCTTTGTCACGTTGAGCTGCAGGTGAATATGTTCACCACAGCCTGGTACTCCATTTCATCATCCCACTGATACAACCGACCACCACACAGTCATCAGATGACAGGTCTCTGTGCAGTGGCTCGACTCCATGGTGTACAAGATCAATAGGAAAAAGGAGAGGATGGGCCCTTGTGGTGTCCAGGTGTTGCTGATCAACTTGTCAGACACACTGGTAGTCTACAATCTAGGACATGAGAGCAGCATCCACCTGCATCACTGTTAGCTTCTCACCCGGGAGGGTCAGCCTGATGGTACCATAAGATAAGAAACATGACACTAACATGACCCATAGGCCTTCGATGATGAAAACCTTGTCATATCTTGGCAAGATTTCAGCTAAGAGGTCAGAAAAGTCATTCATGAAGTCTGTTGTATTTAGAAGGTTGGTATATCACTACACATAGCGCTGGACTACTCCAGCTCAGCTCAAACATATCCAGCTCAAAGCTGCCAGGTTTCACAAACAAAAAGGAAACCCAGTTTTTGGCAGATGAAGAGGTTGTTCATGATGAATGAAAGTCTTGTTTGTGATAGATCTATCACTTATCTGGGCACACCAAGAAGGGCTCTTGGAGCCCACTTCACCAGATGGTGTAGACTTGGCTCATCCCAGCAGTCTTTAATGTATATTGTATCTTTTTTAGGTCAAGGCAATGCACAGGCAAGACCGGTGGCAGATGCAGTAATTGATGCGTTGAGCCAAAACTCTTCCAGTCCTCTGACCACAGTCCGCATAGTTATTTTCCAAAAACCTTTGTTAATACAGTGGGCTGGTTCCAGTCATTATGCAAATGTACTGTTTATAAGATTGGGGAAACCTGCAGTCAGCTGAGACTGAAGAAGTCACTTGGATGAGTGACGAAACGTTTCTCCCAGAAAACGCTACGTCCAGATGAACAGAATCAACTTTTGGAGATTTATTTTCCTGGATGATTGAGAATGCATCAAGAGGTGTTACAGATCATTCACACAAGAGGATCTGTGTGGTTCCACAGCACAAGTGAATCAGTGGTGCAGATTAGAAAAGACAATTTGGCTTAAACAAGCAAAAGTGCAATTTCTTCTGATAATCCATGGTCAGTAATGTGACTTCAAGAATGAATTAAAAAGTGTTATGTGTTTATGTTCTCTAAATAACAAATGAAAGCTAATGTTGGCTAGATAATATTTATAAGATTATAGCTTATTTTAACCTAATTAATAGCTGCCAGCCAAGGAGCTGATTTACTGTGTTTTATTTTGTTAATATTTGAGATTCTGGATGAACTGGATGAATTATGGTATAGACAGAAACACTGACTTGTTGGAACTTACCTGCCAATGGCCACAATCAGTTAAAATGTTGCCACAAACTTTATTGGGTTATAAATTCATTTTCACTGTTGCATTTGCCTTCTGGGTGTCAGCACAAAGAATCACAGCTCACAATAACTTCTAATGTGAGCTTCAGTAGATTTTCTTAATGTACAGGTTGTGATCAGCTGACTCTTTGTTTATTTATACAAGTGAATTCCACAAAATGTCAGCAGTTCCACAGGTTGTTGGCATATGCCCTACACTGACAGTATATACTGTGTTTATACCAGACAGTATACAGCTGGTATAAGGGTGGAATTCAGTAAATTAATCTAAGCATCATCAGATTTAAATTAATCTCTGCTAATAAATTAAATAAAACAATATGTGACAAAGTCAAAAAATATAAGAAATAGCTCTAATATATACAAATAGTTTAATTATAAATATCCAAAATATTACAGGTGCCTACAGTTCCTTTTTGACACCAGAAGAAGCCCATTCGTTAATAAATCCGACCCTTTATAATAACAGCTTTGTTTTAATGAACTTTGTTGTATGAAAGACTCATGAAGTGACAAATGGATTTAAACCGATTATGTTAACTGTGCATATTTTGAACTTCTCTTGGAAAAAGGAAAAAAATTAAATGTTTGTCTTTTAGTGGAATAGCTAATAAAAAAGGCACATTTATAATAGAATAAACCTTTATTATCCCACGGATGAGAAATTTTGGTGTTACAGAGCTCTTAAAGCAAGGGAAAATAAAATATAAAAGGAAGACACAGGGTGGTCCTATAAACATACAGGTATATCCAGGTAACAATGTACAATATATGTATAGAAAATTAGAAAAAAATTGTATGGCGATATGTATAAAATGTACAGTAAACAAACAAGCTGGTGAGTAAGATGGACAATGGAAGGCAGCAGCAACACTCCAATCATATTGTCTTCAGGTTGTGGAAGCATATTTGTTGCATATTTTTTGCAGTCGTTGTTGTTGATTTCAGTTTTTCCTCGTAAACATGCTGCATCTTGAATCTGCAATGTGTTTTTCTCAAATGTTTAAGTTTTTAAACAAGAATTTTTTCTTTTCTTTTCTGTTTTTTCCCAACATTTTGGGAAATTTGCTCGTCTGTCTAGTCAAAGTTTGTTTTGGTTTTTTTTTTTCATAAATGGACGAGTTTATTTTTCTAATAATACCGCCAATATAAACAGTATGTTAAACATTAAAATAGTTTTGTTTGTTTGTTTGTTTGTTTGTTTGTTTGTTTGTTAAATGCATTTCAACCTGTCTAACACTGATACTCGCAGAGTTTGTTTTTTTTTAGTTTCCACCATGGGAGGAACCAGTCCTACATGTAGTCTACTACAAGTGAAGCAGAAAGTGAAAGACTTTATTCTTCTTTGTGCGTCTTCCCGGCCTCTAACGATGGCCGAGGCGCAC